TCTATGGGGCTGTGTCCCGTGGGGGAGGTATGGAGGCCCTTGTCATCCAGACATTCACTTCCTCAAGCAGTCATCCATTCATTCACTGATTGTATTCATTCATCCTGTCAGTCATTTATCATGGAAGCCAATGAAGCCTGTCCTCTGGGTCAGGTTGCCCAGGGAATCAGAACACAATCAAAAGCACACTGGGCAAGACAAACACACAGCACTTAGTGTATAACTAGGTACGTGGACACACGTACTAATGGGAGGTCAGTGCTGTACGAGCCCGGAGGCGGTAGCAACTGGTTCAGATCTCGGGTGGATTTTATGGAAAAGTGATCTTGAAGGTTTGAGAAAGGAGAAGAAATGCTGCCCAACGACTTGCCTTTCAGCTTTGTTGGGTGTGTGCAGGCTCTTTGGGGCCGGCCTTTTTGTTTTATCATTTTCACTTGGCTTTCCACAGGAGTCTTGCTCCTTTGGCCCTGCCCCTTCAAAGCTGCCTCTCAGGGGCTGCTTGAGGATCTTTCTTCTTTTTTTTTTTTTAATTAAGAAATTTTCTTTTTTTTTTAAAAAAAGTATTTTTATTAATTTCAGAGAGGAAGGGAGAGGGAGAGAGAGATAGAAACATCAAGGATGAGAGAGAATCATTGATCGGCTGCCTCCTGCATGGCCCCTACTGGGGATGGAGCCCGCAACCCAGGCATGTGCCCTTGACCGGAATTGAAGCCGGGACCCTTCAGTCCGCAGGCAGACGCTCTATCCACTGAGCCAAACAGGTTAGGGCTTGAGGATCTTTCTAAATGACTTCCTGTTGCCTAAGCCTAAGCCTAAGTTCTTCAGCCTGGTAGCAAGCTTCCTCTCGCCAGGCCCCGTCTTCTTTCAGGCTCTTTCCCTATTGCTCCCCTGTGCAGCCTTTGTTTCAACCCTGTTAAAGTATGCAAATGCCATGGCCTCTGCCTCAGTGCGTTTGCTCATACTGTTCCTTCTGCCTAGAATAGTCTTTCTCCTCTAGAAAGTCTTCTTACACAACACATTGCAGTTAGCAACGTCCTTTCTATGCTTCCATTATACTTTATATATCATCTCAATGACTATATAAAGTAGTCAAACAAATACAGCCTTATTGTGGAATAAGATCTAAATGACTGCACTTACCACTTTGTACTGAAGTTATCTGCCAACCTCTTAAAGGGAGGGATTCTATCTGCATGATTTCTGTAGTCCATGTTCCCCAGGCTGGGCACCTGATAAAGGTCTGATGGATATTTGACTAAATAAATGAGTGGAAGAAAGAGGACTCTGTTGAGATAAAGGGGATAGATTTTAATTAAGTTTCTGGCATCAACAGACCAGTCAACCCTATCTTGTTTTTATTTACTCAATACATCATGTCTATGAGATCTGGAGTAAAGAGGGAGGAGGAAGAGGAGGCAAAATGGATTGGAGTAGGTTTGCCTTTTTGGCCCTGGAAACTGAATGATTGATTTCAGTGCCCAATATGATAATAAAGTTAGCTGTTAAAACACCAGCCATCCCTGAACTGAACAAATCTAACTCCCTGTTGTTCATCTATCAAACTCGTAATCATCCTTCAAAACATCTGTGAAGGCCTGGTGGAGTGGGCCAGTTTGTTAACCCTCAACTGTGATCCTTCTTCTATTATTGCATGTATTTTGTATTTGGCCACCTTAGAATCCATGCTCTTTAAATTTGGATACAATTTTCTGTAGGGGATATGTAGCACTGCATAAGTTTATTCTAAGTGATCAAAATATTTTTATGTTGCAACAAATACAGCCTTATTGTGGAATAAGATCTAAAATAATACAAGAATTTTCAGAATGAAATAAGACATATAGAAATGATAGGTAGCCTATATTGAACACTAGATCTAAGGCACTGTGTTAAACACTTTATATGCATTACCTTGAATATTTTGCCAACAGCAGGCTACTTCAGTTCTCTGCCATGTCCCCCGCGGTGAGAATTCCAGCTCTCTTAGTGTTTGTAGCATGTAGTGGAAAAGTTTGGAAAGGGTTGTTTACTCGAGGCCTGCATTTTCAGTGCCCAATAATCAGCCTGTTGCAGTCGAACCTCAGTAAAGGCTGTAGAAAAATGGGTCCTTTTCTCTCTGCTAGAATATTCTTTTCTATCTACCTGCCTGGTGAATTTTTATTGGTCCTTCAATACACAGCTTAAATGTTCCTTCAACTGTGAAATCTGTTTTCTTTGGCTCCCACAGCCCCTGAAATTCCCTTAGACCCAGCAAATGGATTATCACTCTTTGTTTACTATTGGTGTTTACCATTGGACTCCTCTAGAAGGAAGGCAGGTCCTCTGGGGATGAGTCCAAGTCTGATTTTGCTGCACCTAGCAAAGGGCTTGACACAGGGAAGCCTTCAATGAACATTTGTTGAATGAATGAACTAGTAAAGTTGGCTAATATTCAGAGCTGACCCCCAAAAGAAGAAGTGATTCTGTGTTCATTTATCATGGAAGCCAATGAAGGAGCCGGCCCATTTCCTTAACTTGTGCAGTGGGTTGAATGATGCCCCCTTCCCACTCTGCCCAAATGAGTCCACACTCTAACCTCTGGATCCTGAGAACATCACCTTATTTGGAAAAAGGATCTTTGCAATTAAGGATCTCAAAATGAGATCAGGGTTATCTGGGTGGACCCTACATTCAAAGACAAGTGTCCTTTTAAGAAAAAGAAGACACAGGAAGGAGAGAAGGCATGTGAAGGTGAAGGTAGAGATTGGAGTTATGCAACCACCGGCCAAGGACTACGTGGAGCCACCAGAAAGAGCAAGGAAGGATTCTCCCTTAGAGCCTTCTAAGAATGTGCAGCCCTGCTGACACCTTTGTTTGGGGCTTCTGACCTCAAGAACGGTGAAAGAATAAAGTTATGTTGTTTTAGGCCAGTGGTCGGCAAACTCATGAGTCAACAGAGCCAAATATCAACAGTACAACGATTAAAATTTCTTTTGAGAGCCAAATTTTTTAAACTTAAACTATATAGGTAGGTACATTGTTATTAATTTAATTAGGGTACTCCTAAGCTGGCCTTTGCTAAAAACGTCCTCAATCTGATTGAGGTACGTTCGCTGAGGTCGACCCCTTCCAACTCTCCCATCCACACTCATCTTGTATACTTGTTTCGTCTATCTCCTTTCGTTGCGACGCGAGCCGCGGTATGCTGACCACTGTTTTAGGCTATCCAGATTGTGAAATTTGATATAGCAGCCTCAGGAAACGGATAGCGCTTGGAAACAGAAAGATGTTTTCTGTGAAATTCCACCAGATCATGGCACTATATGAGTTGAGCCAGATGAGATTTGGGATTTCTTAGCTACTCCCTTCTAAACAAACACCTGAGCATACACCCTAGGCTCTAGCCATGAGGAACCACTCAGAATAGGAGACAGTATGCCATTCATGTTAGTCAGCTCTGGGGCCAGATCCAAAGTATCTTTAGACTTCTGAGCACCCTGGAAAGATAGTATGCTTACCTTTTATTACAATATCTTTAGTGCAACTATATGTGAGGTCTTGAACTAGGCAATTTATATGTTGACTTAATCCCTACAGCCATCCTATTACTATTTATAGATGGGAAAACTAAAGCTAAGAGAGAGAGGAACTGGCTTGCCTAGGAACACATATTTAGAAGGTGGCAGAGCCAAGATTCCAGAAGTGCTTGATTCCTGTTGTTTTTGATTTTAAAACACTGAGTTCTTTGAGCTACCATCAGTCCAAGTGGTGAAGAAATTCACAGTGGGGTGGGGTGGGAGGGTGGGGGTTGTTAAAGGCAGATCAATATCCTAAAGAACGATTCAATGCTATTTATTATAGACACAATTGCTATAGACACTATCACTGTGATCAAGGATTCTTCATGGAAGAGGTGGCATTTGAGGGGGGCTTCACTTCAAAAACACTGGGGATCCAGAGATAAACAACAAGGTTCTTTTTCTTGAGGAATTCAGTATGTATGTGTGTATGTCTACATGTGTGTATTGCACATATTAAAAGACAGTGCAACAGAATAATCAGGAATATGGTGGGGACAAGATTCCTAATCAGGCCCCAGAATGAATCAGAAAAGCCTTTTGGAGGAAGGGATTCCAGCTCCAGATGAGATTTGATGGGTGAGCGTTAGGAGAAAAGTAGCACAGGCTTTCTAGGGACAGCATAAGCAACCCCCTCATAGAGACGACACAGAGACCTGGGTGCCTGGCATCCCCTGTAGCTCAGGACAGCAGTTAGTGGCGTGCGAGGAGGGGCATGGCCCGTGGATTAGAGTTGGTCTTGGAAGAGCTGTTGGGACTGCCCGACAGGTTTCTGGTCTTAATGCATCCTGCGTGGTGCCTTTATGCCAAACCATAAGCCATTCCTTTTCAACCCCCGCACGTGGACGGCAGCACTTCAGGAAAAGAATGTTTAGGGAGCCAGCAACTAAGTGCAGACCAGCCGGCGGGAAAGGTCTGCGACGGACCCGACCCAGCCCGCGGGGAGGCTCCCCACCCTCTTCAGGAGGCTGGTTACTATGGCAACTAGGTTAGGGCGGAAGTGGCTCGGAAGACTGACTCTCACTAATCAGGTGACTCGCTTGCCTCCTGCACGTGACACCGGAGCCCAGGCGCACTCTGTACCTAATCAGACCCGCCCCTCTTCCTTTTACCGACAACTGACAACGACCTAGAGCAATGGCCTTTGCAGGTCCAACAGGAGACCCCGCCCTGTGGCAGTGAATAAACCAATTAGACTTGGGAAAAAAGAAGCACCGCCCCAGGTCTCACCCGGGTTTGACAGACGCATTTGAGGCCATCCTCGGGTCCCTCCGCCCCATTCCATTCGGCCGGCGAAGGACAGACCTGTTACCCAATAGCGCGTCTCCTCTCTGTGGTTGGGTCCCGCCCCTATAGGAGCTGAACCAATGAGCACGCCAGGTCTCGGCAGGGTGGTGGGGGTTGCACTGCGGTAATATGGCTCTTCCTTAGGCAGCGGCGGCGGCGGCGGCGCGAGGTGGGGTAGAGCAGTCCTGCCCCTCCGGTGGCGGGTGTTTGGGCTGCGGCGGCTCTGCGGGTCGTGGCTGAGCGGTGGTAGCGGATGCCGGAGGAGTGCCGGCCCCGCCGCTCGGCGGACCCTGGGTCAAGATGAGCGTCTCAGCGTCGATCGGGGGCACGGTCCCCCCGCCGCCCCCGGGCCCGGCCGCCGCCGCGCTGCCTCCCGGTTCTGCTGCGCGGGCCCTGCACGTGGAGCTGCCGTCTCAGCAGGTAACCCTGCGGGCTCGCAGCGCTCGGAAGGGGATCCCGTGGGCGGCGGGCTGCGCCGGTGCCAGCGGGAGACCCCGAGAAGTGGCCGGGAGAACTCGGGGGGTTGACGAGGTTTTGTAAGGGGAGGGGTCCAGTGATGGCCGGACCTCCAGGAGACCCCGCAGCCCGAGGAGAAACCCCGCTACTGGAGCCGGGCTGTGCGGAGACGGAAGGGAGCCGGAGAAACTCCCCGGGGGCCTGAGCCCGCCTGTCAACGGGCAGCTGGGGATTCCCTTGCGGAAACCCTCCCCCTTATCCCTCTAGGAACGGGCCCGGGGAAGCCCTGCGGCCCCACCAGAGACGGGGACAGCGCTTTTCCTCTCCCTCCCCACCCGCGGAGAATCCCGTTGCTACTCTTTCCTTCCGGAGAAGCGAGGAGTCGTTCAGGTTTCTGGCATTTACTTTTAGTCTCTCCTGATCGTGAACTGCCCCCCTCAGCTTCCCAGGAGAAATCCTTTGAGACTTCAGGATTGCCTTCCTAATCTCAGACCCCCGAGGAACGCGTTTCAGCAATTGAAGGGGCTCTTTCCTCTCTCGTTCCTTCAGATGAGTGTCCGTGGAAGGAGGATTCGATGTATATCTACGTCCCCATCCGTCTGCAAGAGCCTGATGGCTTCTTGGGTCCACATTGTAGGGGGATGATAAAGAGAACACTGAGTTTGGGGATCGGACAACGTCCTTTGTGTCACCCACACATCTGTAGAGTACTCCTTCCCTCCTTCCCTCCCTTGCCCTACTTGTGTCCCCCGAGAGGAGACTTTGCAGGAACAGTAGCTTTAGAGAAACTTAAAGAGCCTTTCATCCTCTCTATTCCTCCTTCCACACCGAGGACCGCAGAAAAACTGTCAGTTATTGAGAGTTTATCTTGATGGATTTGTGCGCTGTGCTAAGTGGCTGGTAGTTCATTTAATTCTCACAACTCTGTGAAATAACTGTTTTATTTAACCCCATTTTGTAGAGGTTGGGAAACTGCAGCTTGATGCAAAACCACTCGTTCGAAGCCTTGCATTTAGTAGGTGCCCGCGCTGGGTTGCAGAATCCAGCGTCTGACTCCAGCCCGTGCGCGTGGTTGTGTGCTTGAGGCTTGTGCAACTACCTGCACACAGGACAGAGCATGTTCCTGCATACCTTTCCTCCGGCTTGTGATTTCTGTCATAGGACTTGGGAAAGGTTCCTAAAGAGGAAAGCAGAGGGTGAGGGCAGAGGGAAATGGGATGGGTCTGAATACCGGAAAGTGTGTGTGTGTGTGTGTGTGGCGCGGGGGGATTGCTAAACGGAAGAGGGGAGTTGAGATAATAGTGGTGGCCATTGAGCTGAATTGTTTGCAGAAGCAAGGTGTGTGTGTGTGTGTGGGGGGGGGGGGTGCGCAGAAGTGGATTTAAAAGACTGGGACAGTGTGTGCCCTGGTTTTGTGGTGCTGTGGGAAGCGAATTAGTGGAGAATATTAGGAGCTTGAGAGCAGTGAGTTTTTGGGTTGTATTTATGAGGTGCTGGGAAAGAGTGAAAGTATTGAGGGGAGGGGAGACTAACCTCTGGAATGAGGGTTACTGTGAAGGTTATGTGTGTGAGTGAAGAGGTGGAGTGTGAGACTGGATACTGGGAGAAGCAGTGGGGGGCACTGTTATCAGCAAGCAGTCTGGAGAAATCCTAAGGAGTTGAGGACCTAGAGGGGTTTCGTGTGGGCAAGCTTTGGGAAAATGTGGAATCAGGAAAGAGAAAGCATCGTTTGTTTCATAGAGCCTGTTCTTTGATAACAGTTCACAGTTTAACATTTGAGGAAATAACCCTAACATACTTTCCATGAAAGAAATTCAACTGCATTTGTAAGTGTTTATCAAATTTTTGGATTTGTGATGAGGAATATATATAGTGACTTAGTGCACAGTGAATGCTGTATGAGTGCTGAGTATGGTATTTACAGCTTTCTGGGGTGTCATCCTTGGATTCTTGGAAGGCAGCCTATAGTATAACAAAAACACTTTCACTTTTGCAGTTGATATTAATTTAGCTTCCTGGGTCCAAATGCCCAAGTTTTGGGGGTTATAAACATATAACATTAAAAAAGAAACATTTTTGTTAAATTGTTATCTGTATACAGTAAACTGCACTGATTACTAGTACACAACTTGAAGAATTTTAAGTATACGTCTTTTTAAAAAAAAGATATATTTTATTGATTTTTTTTACAGAGAGGAAGGGAGAGGGATAGAGAGTTAGAAACATCGATGAAAGAGAAACATCGATCAGCTGCCTCCTGCACACCTCCCACTGAGGATGTGCCCGCAACCAAGGTACATGCCCTTGACCGTAATCAAACCTGGGACCTTTCAGTCCGCAGGCTGATGCTCTATCCACTGAGCCAAACCGGTTAGGGCTTAAGTATACATCTTGATGAATTGTCACAAAGTGAACACAGTTCTGCAACTACTACCTGGATTAAGAAATAAAAAATTATTAGCATTCCAGAAGTCCCCTTTATGTTCTCGCCCTTCTCTCTCTCCCCTTTTCTCTGAAGGAGTCACTATTCTGATTTCTAACATAAGAGATCAATTTTCACCTATTCTTGAACTGTATATAAATGGAATCCTGCAAAATGTATGATTGTGACTGGTTTCTTTTGCTCAGTATTGTTTGTGAGAGTCATAGGATATGTGTGTGTATAAAACGTTCTGTTAGCATTAATTCATTGTCTTTTTATTTTTGCCTGTAGCTTTTGCAAAATTTCAAAGGTTTAGATAAATTGGAAGTCCAATTAATTTTCCTTTAAATAATACCTTTTGACAGTCATGTAATTTTAATATATCCCATGCTATTTAATAAAATGTTAATGTTTCTAAACAAATAAGCCAACCCTATTGATTGAGAATTTCTACTAAAGTTGATTATTTCAAAGCATAGATTCAGTGGTTGCCCAGCTTATTTCTAAGGCAGAGTTTTTCCAACTTTGGCACTGTTGACATTTTGGGTGGGTAGACGGACGGGGCTGTAAGATTTTTAGCCCCACTCCTGGCCTCTACCCACAGTGTACCATCAGCACCTGCCCAGTCCTAGCAATAAAAAATGCATCCAGATGTTGCCAAATGTTCCTCAAGGGGCAAAATTACTCCTGGTTGAGAACCACTGGTCTCAAGTATACTTTCATTTTAAGATAGAGAGTATCACTGCTATTACTACTCATTTATTCTATTCTTCATTAATCTCATTGCTTCTAATGACTGTAATGTTATAATAGATTAGTTCCAGAAGTATTGGACCACCCCCCACCTGCCTCCAGAAAAAGACGTTTGTTTTTGCTTAAAGAAAGTTCATTAAATTATGTATAATACCTAATTTATTTCTCTTATTTTAATCTGCTTGTCTAAAAAAAACACACACACACACACCAAAAAACTTTAGTTAAGACTTTATAACTCCTGATCCTTTATATGTATGAGTACTCACTATAGTCTGATAGCTACTTGACTGTGTCAAATGAAACTACTACTTAGTCTTTGCCTCCTTTTTCTTCTCTGTGATCTTATTTTAACTGTAATTTCAGTATGAACTAGTCACACATTTTGAAGACTGTTTTTGCTCTGTAATTTTTGGTTGTGGTTCCTAGTGAATATGAGTTCATGTGAAGAGTAACTTCCTTTACACCCTTAGATTTAGGAGTTTTGAAATAAAAAATGTGTTTTGTGATAGAGACATTTAATATTCCCTTAAAAGTTTAATTGAGAGCATTTCTTTCCTTCCTAAAGACTTCCTCACTTGAGTATAACTTATCTATGTTTCTCAGATACTTAGAGTGGGTGTGTGCAGGGGGTGCTTTTTAGTGATTGCTTAGTGACCCTTTTTGGGGCGTCACATATTTCTTTAAGATTTGGTAGAACCTATAGGCTCTTTCCTTAGAAAATGCACTTACATACATACATAAACAATTTTGCATGCAGGTTTGGTTTCCTTGAAGTATAAATAGAAGAGCTCAGATTAAATAATCCTAGCCCACTTTAATCCCTTTTTTTAAAAAAAGTTAAAAGATTTTGCAATTTAATATTATTTTTCTTAGTTGTCCATGTCTCTATCTATCTATCTATCTATCTATCACATTTTGTATAATAATATTTAGTTACTAGTATGTTTAACTAACCCCATATGTAGACTTTTGGATTCTTCAGTTTTTCTCTATTACATTGTTGCAATGAGTATTCATACCTAATTTTTGTAGGATAAATTTAGAGCAGTGAAATAACTCAAAGAATGGAGATATATATATTATATATATATAGTGTATAGCAAACACACACACACATATATATAAATATAACTATATATAAAATAGTTATATATAACTATTTTAGCTTTAGAAAATATTAGCAGTTTCCAAAAAGGATATGCTTATTACACTGCTACCAAGTTAGGACCTGCATCTCTACATTTTGTCAACTTTGGGCATCATACATTTTCTCAGTGTTTTCCAATCCAATTTTATGTATACAGGTTTTATATATGTATTTTACCTACATATACATATACATACAGGGGTAGACAAAAGTAGATTTACAGTTGTGAGTACACAAAACAGTTTATTCTTGTATTATATAAGAATTGCATTATTTTCCATATGAACAACTGTAAACCTACTTTTGCTCATCCCTTTATTTTTGTTATTTAAATAAGCATTTCTTTAATTATTAGTTATATTTTAATAGCTTTATTTTTGTATATCAAACACTATGTTAATTACATGATCTCATTTATTCTTATACAACCCTATGAATTTCAGTACCTTTACACAGATTTATGTAGCATTTCTTTAATGAATTCCTTGTTCATATCTTTGCCATTAATTTTTCTGATTGTTTACTTATGTTTTTCATTGATTTAAGAACATTTTTTCTTGTCTTTTTTTTGGAAGGAGGTGGGGTATATTAATGCTATGAGCCTTTATCTTCCTTGAATTTTTTGGGGGAAGTGAATGT